TAAAATATAGCAGAATTCGAGAAATCTCTATATCTTTAGGTCCGATTTGCCACGCCCCTAGTAGGCGTAGATATATAATTTTTTCACCCATCTTGCATTTCAGCATTCTAGGTTTACAACTTTAGCAGATACAGTTTTTTCCGATTTGCCACGTCCCTAATAGGCGTAGATATATCCACCATAGCTTTTAAACTTGGGTCGTCGACGCGGACCTACATACCAAATTTCAGCTTTCTAGCTTTTCAACAAAGATAATTTCTGGTGTATCGGAAAAAGCATTTTCCGATTTGCCACGATCCAGGCGAATCGGGAAAATTTTAACACTTTATAACTCGGAGATATACACGAGTATGTGATCCAAATTTCAAGTTTCTAGCTTCAATAGCACCGTAATAGATTGCGTTCATACGGACAGACGGACAGCAAGACGGACATTCCACAAAACCAATATACTCATTTCACTTTCGTGAATGAGTCTAAAAAAAAAAAGTACAGAAAACAGGATAAACAATTTTTTTATAAACTTGCAATTTATACTACATTTGCAGATTCTACAGTACGCCTTATTGTTGTCGTCTTCATCTCGGGTTATGCACGACTTGAAATCTGGCTGCTCTGGCCAGCAAAGAAGAAATTGTTGCCTATAAGCCTCCTTGGGCATTTTATCACTCTATTCGCATTGAACACAATTAAAAACGATATCGATAATACCAACAAAGCACCTACACAATTTAATTTTACACAATTCATTTTGGCACGGTTCTTAGCCAAATATCGGTACAGAATTTAGCATATGTATCTAATGCTAAAGTTCTGTTCAACTGTTCGGTCCGAAAAACGGACAAATTGGCATCATTGGTGATTGTATACAGTATGAAGTTTTACAACATCGCAAAGAAGTATGGCAACATTGTGTCAGACTGACTGATGCAGCAGCGCACCAATACATTGCTACGCCATCAACATTTCACATTCATGTTATCAATGTTATGTTCAATGTTAATTACATAAATCTCTGACACATATGTATGTATGCACATATGTATGTATGTATAGATACATATGTAGCTTGTGCAGATATTATTAGTTTTAATTTCCCAGCAAGCTTAGATCTAAGTTAAACGGCACTTTTTCTTACACACATGCCAAAATGTGCAAATTTTGTTATTCGATCGTGAAAGCGCAAGTGAAGTGCAAGTGCGAAGTGCAAACAAATCAATTATTATATCAATTATATCAAGTACCAAGTAAGAAATCTGTAGTCGAGACTGCTCGACTTCGAGATCCCCTGAACCCTTCGAGCAATAGATATTTCAATCATTTTTCGTGTCTTTCTGCTTACACAAGACACACGCACACACACACAAACACACACACGCACACACACACACACACACACACACACACACGCACACATACACGCACACACACACACGCACACACACGCATACACACACACACACGCACACACACGCACACACACACACGCACACACACGCATACACACACACACATACACGAAAACAGGCACCCACGCCTAAACACGCATGGTCTGCAGTGTGTACTTGCTATGAGAACTTAATGGTTTAATAGCTTTTCTTGTGAACATACGATCTTCATGAAACTTTTAAATTATAATATAGATATGCATGTATTTGCGAAAGCACAAGTCCCTAGTATTTGAAATACGCCGTTTACAAATGTGAGGGTGAGGGGGTGAATTAGTGGTGGGGGTAAATTTTGACGAAAACAGAAATTGTATAAAATACATATAAGTATACATTTAAAATTTTGAGACTCTAGCGTTAAAGGTGTAGGAGATATAAATTTATTACTAGTTTTCGATAATGTTTTAATCGATAACAAAATAACGGAACAAGTTATCGATATTTAAGGCAAAACTCGATATGCGCGTGCATAGGAAAACAAATTTCATGTCTCTAGCTCTAATATCTTCTGAGATCGACGAGTTCATACAGACTCTCGACTAGAGTCTTCTTACTTGTTTAAGATAATATATATATATATATATAGTAAATGAAAATTATATTAATAAACAAGTAAGAACGTTGCAGTCGGGCGTTACCGACTGCGGAATACTCATTCACATCCCATCAACAATATAGTACTTAAGTTTCGCTCTAATGCTGTAGAATATACAGGTTTTTCCGATTAGCCACGCCCCTACTGGGCGCAGACACCTCTTTTTGGTCAGTTCTTAGAACGTGATAACGGTACACTAGCTGCAAAGTTTGAATTTTTCGATATGCCACGCCCCTAAAGAGACGTAAAAATTATTTTTGGGTCATCGATAGAGGAGGTTACTGGTAACTTAACTCTCTAAATTTGAAGCTTTTAGCTATTATACTTTAGGAGATATCAACTTTTGCGGTTTGCCACGCCCCCTGTGGGCGGACATATATCCGACAAAGCTTTTTGTCATCGATAGAGGAGGTTACTGGTAACTTAACTCTCTAAATTTGAAGCTTTTAGCTGAAGCTTTTAGCTATTATACTTTAGGAGATATCAACTTTTGCGGTTTGCCACGCCCCCAGTGGGCGGACATATATCCGACAAAGCTTTTTGGTCTTAAGTGATCAGCCCGAGTATATATACAAAATTTGAGGTCTCTGGCATCAATAGTGTCCAAAATAGAGCAGAATTTAAAAAATCACTATATCTTCAGGTCCGATTTGCTACGTCCCTAAAAGGCGTAGACTTAGAAATTATCTTTTGACTTTACAGAATCATAACATTAGCTGACGTGCATTTTCAGCATTCTAGATTTACAACTTTAGGAGATACAGTTTTAGCCGATTTGCCACGCCCCCAGTGGCCGGAGATATATCCGCCATAGCTCGTGATCTTGGGTGGTCGACGCGGACCTACATACCAAATTTCAGCTTTCTAGCTCTTCAACTAACATGATTTCTGGTATATCGGAAAATGCATTTTCCGATTTGCCACGCCCCTAGTGGGCGGATCGGGAAAAATATTAACACTTTACAAATCGGAGATATACACGAGTATGTGTTCCAAATTTCAAGTCTATAGCTTCAATAGCGCCGAAATAGATTGCGTTCATACGCACAGACGGACGGACGGACAGCAAGACGGACATTGCACAAAACCAATATACTGATTCACTTTCGTGAATGAGTATAAAAAATTATTTTCGTTGCAAATTATTAAAAATTGTATACGAATATGAGTCAGAAATGATTAAACTATGACTCGTGAAAGACTCTTTTATGATTAAAAGATGACTCGTGGAAGACTCTTTTATGATTAAACAAGACTCTAGTCGAGACTGCTCGACTAGGAGATACCCTGAACCCTCTAATTTGATATTCTAATCACTCTGCACTTCTTTTCGGCACACACACATACACACACACGTATTAGAACGCGCTCTGTTAACTGCGATGTAAGAGTGACTGCGCTTGGGCTGCGCTGCAGTGTGGGCAAAATTATAAGAATTTATTTGTTGAATAATTTAATTTCTAGACGTACAATCTTAATGAAACTTCAGAGAGTAATCATATGGTGAAAATGTATGTACATTCCAAAGCACAAGTCTCTAGTACTTGAAATACGCCTTTTACAAAGGTGAGGGCGAGGGGGTGGATATAAGGGTGGGGGGCATATTACAACAAATATTATTAGAGCTCTAGCTCTAAAGGCGTATTATATATAATTAAATAACTAGCTTTCGATAAGGATTTTAATCAAAAATAAAATATCGAGAGTAGTTATCGATATATAGAGAGAAACTCGATATGCGCGTGATATACACGGACCTAGGAAAACAATTTCAAGTCTCTAGCTCTTACATCTTCTGAGATCGACGCGTTTATACATACGGACGGGCAGACAGACACACAGGGCCAAATCGACTCAGCTGGTCGCCCTGACCAAGAATATATGTATATACTTTGTGGGGTCTGCCACGCCTCCTTCTGCCTTGTTACATACATTTCAACAAAACCATTATACCCTGATTTCCCATTGAAAATGGGTTCAGGGTATAAAAATGCTGGGTGCGTTGCTCTAAATTAATTCCCAGCTGTGTTTGTATGTATGTATGTATACATGGACATATACATATGTATGTATGTATATGTACATTAATTCATATAAACAGAGATGTATGTATGTACGTATGTATATTGTATTTTATTACATAAACATACATACATATGCATGTATACCTACTTGTATGTATGTATGTATATCACGTATTATTTCTCCAACGGTATCTTAAGTAATTGACAAGCTTTTAAGAGGGCAGTAACAATATGTACATAGTACATACACACTTGTATGTACATATATATATATATATTTATGTTAAAACAGTTCTATTAGGCTTGGGAGAGTATGTTTGTTTCATTGTCACACTATTAGGATGTTGTCCCCATGTGAAGTGTATTTTCATTCGGTTTAGCTACCTACAAACATATGTATGTATGTATGTACATATGCGCATGTACATACATATGTATGGAGACTGCAACAGCTGTTTTGCACGTAATTATCCACATTTGTACGTGTGTAGCCCACCATGGTGTGCGTTTCCCCGCCAAATATTTAGGTTGGTTTTTATTTTTAGCGCATGCGTATGAGTGCATGTAAATTCTGAGTATTATTGAGGTTTCAACTTTCAGGTCTCAGTGACGCCCACATCGTTTTTTTTTTTTTTACGCACATCTGTGTATGTATGCATTGATATTATTCATTTGTGATTAGTAAGTTATTTTTTTAGTGCAACCGAAACGGTGTCACATGCTGCACCACACTCTATATATGTCTACATATGTATGTACATACATACAATGTCACTGTATGATCTGCCACTTAACACAACAAATATTGAACACAAAAAATTTACACTTGCCAAAAAATATACAATACATACATATGTATGTACATACATGATACGTGATATTTTCCATACTGGTAGCTGATTTGCCATTTGAAGGCGTAATAAGTCCACTCACCATCGGCATAAATATGGTTTGTGTTGCTTGGTTGGACATGCTGATACATGACTTGATGTAGTGCACCAATGTCGTCACTTTCATGTCACTTTAAACACTACAGGAGAATGAAAGCATTCGCGTTGGGCTCTGAGTATTTATACATATGCATGTATGTATGTATGAATGTTCACAAAGCGCCAAAAGTTGCGTCGCTGCCACCGCCGTTACTGGTGATACTACTGCTATTGCTGCGGCCTACTGCTGTCGCGCTGCTGTTATAGCTTTTACACCCTGTTTCCATATAAAGGTTGATTACACTGTGCAACACAAAAAAGTAAACAAATGGAAACACAATCTGTGTTTATTTCTGATTTTTATATACATATGTATGTATATATTTTTATGGTGACTTTATTGACTTTATAATGGGCTGTAAAATAAAATTAAATAACTTTGTGATAAAACAATAAAAAAATTTAATTTATTTCAATACGTGGAAGCATACATATGTACATAGAAACATGTGTGTGACGTCGGCATTGCAGCTCGTCTCTCTCTTCCTCTATATTATCTCCCTATTTCTAACAATGTCTTTTGTTGATTAAATGTGTTGTCCTTACATACATACATATGTACATATGTGTGCATACGTTTCGCTGTATTTTTGCATGTCGTAAAAGCCGTTGAATAACTGAACAATATAAGCGATATAAGCGAATGTCTTTAAAAGCGAAGATGTATCAAGCGGAGGCTCTTTCACATACATATGTACAAGTACGAGCATACTATAATATACATATGTACATACATATATAATATATGCTATATACATATATATGTATATACATATACATACTTATATATAAGTATATCTATTTATGTACATACATACATATGTATGTATAAATCTAATTATTTGACTTTGTTAATTTTGTAGTATAGTGCTTTCATTTGTTCCTTGGTAAAATTTCTGTTATTGCTTTTCTCTTTGACGAGCTTTTGCCTGCCCTTAAAGTTAAAAGAGAATAAGTAAGAAAGCTCTACTCGAGACTGCTCAACTACGAGATCCCCTGAACCCTTCGAGCAACTAATATTTCAATAATTATTCGCATATGCACATACACGCATACACACAGACATACGCCCGCACGCAAAAACACACATTGGCTGCAGTGTGCGCTTACTATGAGAAGTTAATTGTTTAATAACTTTTCTTGTGGATGGACTATCTTTTTGAAACTTTCAGATTATGAATATAATATAGATATGCAAGTATTTGCCAAAGCCCAATTCCCTAGGGGTGGACAAAACCGAAATTGTATAAAATGCATATAAGCACTAACCAGAGAACACATAGACTAGAACAAATTTTTTCAACGATGAAAAAATGCTCTGAAAAGACCGGACAACTTCGTATTTGCTCGGCCACAAATACATAGTCACACATGTTTCCAGAGATTGCAAGTGTGTGTGTGCTTGCCCGTCGCGAATTCATATTCTTTGTGCGTATCAACGCTTTCATACCCTCCCCACGAATATCCATCGAAACGCTACATTTTGTTTGCATGAGCCTGACAAACGCTTTTATGATTTAGGTTACCCTTCACTCAAAAGGAAAGAGCTGGGATCGTCGCCAACAAATATCAATTTTTGAGCGCTGCTGAGTTCGGTGATTTGAGCGACCATAGAGAGAGATAGAGAGAGATTGATAGAGAGAGAGAGAGAGTAGGAGAAATAGCGCATAGCTGTGTTTCATATAAGAATGGGACCATTTCGTTTGAGCGCTTGCAGTAGTGCTGTAAAACTATCGATTGAACTATCGATCTATCGAATATTTATATTTCTGCGTCCATAACGATTGTTTTTTATACTATCGATAGAGATGATATCGTGCATTGAACATCATTTACTTTGGCGCAACTTCGCAAGTCGGCGGCTCTTTTTGGTAAGAAATACATTTATAAAGGTAGGTACACACGATGCAAACAATTTGCAGCAAGTTGATTGCTGCAATCAAATTTGCACGTTTGAACACGAGTGCAAACATTTTGCTGCAAATAAAAAATTTGCAAATACTGTTTGCGGTAACCTTTTTTTACTTGTCGTCTGAACACAGAATTTTGCCGTTAGCTTGGTTGAGTCAGTTGTTTGCTTGTTTGCATGTGCTGTTTGCTTTCAGCCGCAATATTGCAGCAAGCAAAGCAAAATGTGGGATCGCGAGAAAACGATTGAATTAATTGAATTGTAAGAGAATTTTTGAGTTTTATGGGATGTTTCGTCAGCAGACTAAAAGTAATTATAAAAAGCAAAAGGCTTATCGCGAAATTGCTAAAAAAAAATGTACTTTTTCTAATAAAAAATTGAAAAAACTGACTGACATGCGAAAATTGTAATAGTTTTTTTATCACCATATTGTAGCTCTTTTAAAAGGTTCTGATGCACTCCTTGTTCATCTCTTTTAGAAATCCACTCTTTCACCCAAAACTTTTTTTGTTTTTTGCAGACTTTGATCTTCTCATTTTTATTTTATTTTTTTTTATCAAAATTGCTAATATAGCAACAGCAGCAGCTCTCGATTGTTGTGCAGACATTAATGCAATATATTGAACGAAATAGCCATGTTTGCGTGCAAAATAAAAATTGATTGCAGCAAGTAATTTGCATGCAATATTTGCATTGGTGTGAACATTTGTGCAAATTATTTTCAACTTGCTGCAAATTGTTTGCATCGTGTGTACCTAGCTTAAGAAGCAATTAAGTAAAAAATAAGTATTTATTTGTAGGTAAATTTTCGTTGGTGTTGGTGGCTGGACAGATTATCACGGAACGACGAGCTGCCTTAAAAGCTAAGCATGTGGACATGTTGTTGTAGTCCATGAAGGATCTCATTATTATTTTTACTTTTAAATATGCATTTATTTAGTTTGTTTTTGAACTTGAAAATACTTTCGATAGTACTATCGATGCTATTGAATAATTGTTGTAAAACAATCGAAACTATTGAATGTTGCAACCATCGATAGTTTTACAGCTCTAGCTTGCAGCGCACTGACTTTGACGTGCAATATTTTCACTGCTCGAACCTCCAGCGACCTAGCCGAGCAAATACGAAGTATAGTCGTCGACCAACTTAACATTTTCTGCTGTAGAAAAATTTGTTCTACATGTCTAGTCTACGTGTCCTCTGGTCAGTGCTTTTCGTTAGGTTTAGGTTAGTGGTATATATGACCAAATTTTAATAGTAAATACCATAAAAATGGCCAGTTACTAATATTATTACCCTATAATAAAGAAACTTCGTATATAATGGAATGAACTGAGATGCCTCCCGCCAAAATGTCCAATATGTCAGCAGGAATGTTTGAATTTTATCTGAGTTTTCGCCATCAGTAATGTTTATTTATGCCTATTTACTTGCACATTCAAATATAGTACATGTTGAAGCTTCATCAATAAAGGTGCCGCTCACACCTGCTATCATGTCAGAAATTTCCGGAAACATGTAATCTGCCTAAATAATCTATAGCCATCATATTCGTAATATAATGAATGAAATTAGTACAAATGTATGTTGATACGGATTGATGGGAAATTCATAAAACTTAGTAGTAAATATTTATTTTTACAAACTAAAGCCTTAGATAGTAAGGTTTAAACCGTTCTATGCAAAAGTATAAGTAGTCAAGGGATTTCAAGTCAGTAACTGCCTAAAATGCCTAAAACGACTTAGAATATAAAATTAGCAAAAACCCTTATATTGTCTGATTAATGAATCCACATATACTATATACTATACTAGTTTTAAGACAAACAACAGTGTCAAAATTGTTTGATTTTAATACAAAGTTAAGCGCGCTCTAACCATTTTCTGAAATCATGACGTCACGCTGTCAATTCAGCTGTTCGCTTTGTATACCCTACTATCACACAATCGTGTTTTTACATTTGCGAGCAAACGACTAGTATCGATAAAGAAAACATCGATGTTCCGATTTAGCATCACTACGGAAATAGTAAGTTAAGGATAAAATAGAAAACAGTGCAGGACGAAAGCTAGAAACTAATAAGCATATCTGCAGAAATGGGTAATTTTGTAAGTAGACAAAACGCAGCTGTCGAGGAAGCTGACCATATTACCAATCATGCCTATAAATATCCACCACGTATTGGAAATTTCTTCGGCACCCACTTTATAATGGGTGGTGAGCGATTTGACACGCCCCAACCAGAGTCATATTTATTTGGTGAGAATGCGGATCTTAATTTCCTGGGTAGTCGCCCCACAGCATTTCCATATCCGCCACCACAGGCTAACGAACCTACGAAAACTCTCAAGAGCCTCGTCAACATAAGAAAAGAATCTGTGCGTTTTGTGAGAGTACCAAATGAGAAAATATCAAGCTGTGCTGATGTTGAGACCTTGCAACAAAATGAAAAAAATAAGAAACTAACGGAAACTGCATCTATAGAGGAAGTGGACGGCAGCGTTCTTTGTAATATGGGTGGAGTTGATAAAGGGACAGAGATAGTGCCACCAAACTACAATGTTGAGTTTACCTTCGATTCCGACGCAAAATGTGCTATAACTATATATTACTTTTGTACAGAAGATGTGGGTTCCAGTGGCATTAAACTAACGCCACGCGATGGATATTCTCTGACATCTGATACGTACTATTACGAAAAAGGTATCAATCAATGTTTTTCACAACCTAGCCATGTATTTAACCCACACGTAATACCCGAAGATGATCTTATATACAATGCTGGTCGCGAGCAATACCCAGTTGCTATACATTGCGTCATCGAAGAAGGCAATGAAGAATGTCGTCAGTCACATACTACAATTTGCGTAATAGACCACCACCCAGAAACATGCAGTTATGTGCTACGGGCACTTAAGCAAAAAATTTTTGTGGACGGTCTATGCTACTTACTGCAAGAGATCTACGGCATTGAAAACAAAGCAGTAAACAAAACGTCCATGGATGAAGAAATTGACGATCATGGCAGTGAGTGCGTTATTTGCATGAGCGAAACCCGTGACACACTTATTTTGCCTTGTCGACATCTTTGTCTCTGTAACTCTTGTGCCGATTCTCTGCGTTACCAAGCCAATAACTGTCCCATCTGTCGAGCGCCATTTCGTGCACTCTTACAAATACGAGCCGTTCAAAAGGGAATTAGCACGCAGATGCTGCACCAGAATGCCCCAACAACAGTGTCTGGCGAGCCAACCCCTCCAGATGTTCCTCCTGGATATATACCTGTCTCACTTATAGAAGCCTTGAATGGTCCGCCACAGTATGTGTCTCGTCCCAGGTATGTGTGTGTTGTTCATGTGAGGAAATAAGCAAAAAAATTATTGAAGTAGAGCATTTTTATGAAGCACGTCTACATTCTTCCAGAGTTAACATGAAACATATTTCAAAAAAAAAAAAAAAAAAAAAAAAAAAAAACATTGAGCCCATTGAATATAGGAAATCAAGGACGGAGGCATGGCGGACCCCATTAATCAATTTGATTACCTGAGTTGCTATAGAGAGCCATTGCTCCGAGATTTCTTAAACTGCAAATGATAAGGCCGATGTCAGAGTGGCCGCGATAGGCGATGCGATAATTATCGCAGCGGTCAGCAAAGCGATGACAGAGTGATAACTATCCGCAAAGAGAGAAATTTTACTCTCAGTCGCAATGTTTTCATGAAACATGTAAGAAGGCTCCAGTCGAGAAGGCTCGACTAGGAGATACCCTGAACCCTCTAAGCTTATTTTCTACTCATTCTGCACTTCTTTTATGTACACATGCATAAACACGCATCCACACGCACGTATAATCATGCGTTGTATTGACTCTGCAGTAAGCAGCGAGTGCGCTTGGGCAGCGCTATAGTGTGGGTAATATTATGAGAATTTATTAGCTGAATAATTTCTCTTGTAGTAACACTATCTTTATGAAACTTTCAAAACGTGATCCTATAGTTAAATTGTGTATATGCAACTCTTTTTATACATTGAACCCATTTTCAACGTGAAATCAGGGTATAATGGTTTAGTTGAAATGTATGTAACAGGCAGAAGGAGGCGTGGCAGACCCCGCAAAGTATATATATTCTTGATCAAAGTGACGAGCTGAGTTGATTTGGCCCTGTCCGTCTGTCTGTCTGTCCGTATGTTCCGAAGATATAAGAGCTACACACTTGAATAGTGCCACTATAGCTAATTGTGAATCATTTTTCATTTTTTTAAATTTGTCAAATATTTAATATAATATGTAGATCATATGCTGAAAGTTTCATTAAATTCCGATAAGTCAAAAAATAATAAACAAGTAAGAAAGCTCTAGTCGAGACTGCTCGACTACGAGATCCCCTGAACCCTTGGAGCAATAGATATTTCAATAATTTTTCGCGTCTTTCAGCTTACACAAGAAACACGCACACACACACACACACACACACACACACACACACACACACACGCACACACAGGCATACATAAACACACATACATACACACACATACACACACACACACACACACACACACACAATTACATACATATACACACACAAGCATAAACACGCATGGGCGGCAGTGAGCGCTTACTATGAGAACTTAATTGCTTAATGGACGTACGATCTTCATGAAACTTTCAGATTATGATTATAACATGGATATGCATGTAATTGCCAAAGCACAAGTCTCTAGTATTTGAAATACGCTTTTTACAAAAGTGAGGGTGAGGGGGTGAATTTAAGGGTGGGGGTAAATTTTAACAAAAACCGAAATTGTATAAATTGCATATAAGCATACATTAAAAATTTTGAGACTCTAGCAATAAAGGTGTAGAAGATATAATTTTAAACCTGGTTTTCGATAGGGTTTTTTATCGATAAAAAAAAGATCGGGATGAGTTATCGATTTTTAATGATAAGCTTGATATGCGCGCTGTAATTACGGGCATTTTAAAAATCGACGCGTTCATACATATGGACAGACAGACGGACAGGGCCAAATCAACTCAGCTCGTCGCCCTGATCAAGAATATATATACTTTCTGGGGTCTGCCACGCCTCCTTCTGCCTGTTACATACATTTCTACAAAACCATTATACCATGATTTCCCATTGAAAATGGGTTCAGGGTATAAAAATAATCAAATACATCAAACATATGTATGTAACTGTGAGCAGTTCACAAGATCAACCAAATGCAAATGCTGGGCCTTAAAATTGCTACAGCCAGCAAGAGCCTCGCACACAGGCATACAAATGCTCATAGTACTGTAAGTGTGTGTGTGCATGCTCGTCGCGAAAACTTTTTCATTATGCGCGCCAACGCAGCACTCTCGACTAGAGTTTTCTTACTTGTTATACACTGAACCCATTGAAAATGGGAAATCAGGGTATAATGGTTTTGTTGTAAATGTCCTTATCCTTTATCACAAAAAATATTTTTTATCGATTAAAATCCTTATCGAAAATCAGTTTTAAAATTAAATCTCCTACATCTTTAAAGCAAGAGTCTCTAAATTTTAAATGTACAGTTTGGCAAGAAAGTGTTTACACACAGGGAAAAAATTTGAATTTTTTACTTTGAAGCGAAATAAAAGCAGTAAGAATATGCATATTCAATTTTTTAAAAATGAAAGTAGGTATATTAGACTATAAACAATTAATTCATTATAATGTTTTAACTACTTTTTAGTTAAAACTAATACTTTTTTCTGACATATTCCACTGGGATGTTTCGCCATTCCTCCAAAACAATGGATTTCAGTATATAATATACTAAGCCGTGCAAAAAAAGAGGATAGGCTTGAGTTAAAGGTTAAAGGTTAAAGTTAAAGGACGCCCTCATCTATTATCACCCAGGGCAGAGCGAATTATGCTCAGCAAAATGGACGAGAAACCAACTATTTTGACCAGGATGCTTGCCAGTGAGCTGAAGGAGGAGTGTAGCATAACCATTTCCCGGGAAAGTGTCAGAAGAGCAATACAAAAAGTAATGATCTGTCGTCCCGACTAGTCCGGAAAAAAACACTGATGTCGGCAGATCACGCTCAAAAGCGTCTAACGTTTGCTGAAATGCACGGAAATCAGCCAGATTCATATCGGGATGATGTAATATTTTGCGATGAATCCAAAATGATGGTATATTATAACAATGGTCCAACTAGAGAGTGGCGCAAGCCCCTAAAAGCCCTCGAGAAGAAAAATATAATACCGACTGTTGATTTTTGAAAGCTTTCGGTAATGGTCTGGAGGTGCATCTCAAGCAAAGCAGTTGGATATCTATGTTTTATTGAGAACACCATGGATGTTGGACAGTATTTTGACATTTTGCGCACACATTTAGTAACCAGTGCCAACAAATTTGGATTCTTTGTCAATGGCAAAACAACTATAAGGTTTTATCAAGACAATGATCCCAAACATAAGGCGCATATTGTGAGGTGCTGGCTACTTTATAACTGAAAAAATGTGTTGGATACGCAAACTAAAGGCCCGGACTTAAGCCTCATTGAGAATTTGTGGGCTTATCTGAAGAAGAGAACCGCCAAGAGGCATCCAAAGAATAAAACTGAGCTGAAAACCATTGTTTTGGAGGAATGGCGAAATATCCCAGTGGAATATGTCAGAAACGGTGGCCAAAAAAAGTATTAGTTTTAACTAAAAAGTAGTTAAAACATTATAATGAATTAATTGTTTTAGTTGTGTAAACACTTTCTTGTCAGCTGATTTTTGTTACTTCTTTTGTTTTTTGTTATTTTCTTTTGTTAATGGAAACATATTGTAATTTTTTTTACTTACTAATATAGTTTATAGTCTAATATACCTACTTTCATTTTAAAAAAATTGAATATGCATATTCTTACTGCTTATATTTCGCTTCAAAGTAAAAAATTCAAATTTTTTCCCTGTGTGTAAACACTTTCTTGCCAAACTGTATATGTATATGCATTTTATATATATATTTTTTTTATATATATATATATACATATTGGTAAAAAACGTATTTCAAATACTAGAGACTTGTGGTTTAGCATGCATGCATATCCATGATGTTATCATAATTTTAAAGTTTCATGAAGAAAGTACATCTACAAAAAAAGTTATTAAACAATTAAATTCTCATAGTAAGCGCACACTGCAGCCCATGCGTGATTAGGCGTGGGTGCTTGTGTGTGTGTGTTTCTTTTTTTATTTTTATACTAGCTGGCCCGGCAAACGTTGCATTGCCCTCTATATTATTTCTAGGTAAAAAATCGTTGAAAGCTATGTTGTTCAGGTTGGGATACACTCTGATTAATTTATTAATCGTATTTTGATTCAAGCACCTTGTGGTAAACGACATTCTTCGTTTTTTGGTCGGGTGCAAGAACAAATAATGCGGATGGTTTGCCAACACGTGAGCATGCCACGTACAATTGACCATGAGAAAAACACGCATTTTCTAGATTGAGGCCACAAATAGTCAAAGATTGGCCCTGTGACTTGTTGATCGTCATGGCGAAGGCAAGACGAAGCGGGAATTGAATTCGTTTAAATTCAAAGGGCATATCTGTTGAGATCATCGGAATCCTAGGAATAAGAACTTCCTTATCTTTAAATTTTCCTTTGAGTATCGACGCGTAATCACATTGCTCATCAGTTTTCTTATCACCAAACGCGTTCCATTGCACAGTTTTGGTTGGTTTAAATTTCTAAGCATGATAACTACCGAGCCAACCTTCAGTTGTAAATTGTGCGGTGGTAAACCAGGCACATCCAAGGAGTTCAAAAATTCAGTTGGATAATTAGTGGCTTCTTCTTCGTTTGTTACACAGTCGATAGATTTGAATGAATACAGAGTACCAACGATTTTATTTTGAATTATAAAATTTGCATTGGACCAATGCAAACTAAACGATTCAAGCTATAGTCAATGGTGCAATCATATCGAAACGCTTCTCGATTCAAATCAATCCTTGAACCATTTCTTATTGCCATTTCACGGGCTGCCTCTCTTTGAGAAGCACGAATTAAGGCCCTTCTTTGCTGGGTACTAACGCGGCGCCTTTCTCGGGCGATTTCTCGCTCTTCGTCAGATAATTGACTCGCGATATTCCGTTGCCTAATTGCATTATGGGTCCGCCGGGAAAGATTAGATCTTCTAGGACGCAGCATTTTTATTAATAGTAATACTGCCCTCGCACAAAACCATATAAAACAATCGAGAAATATAAATATAAATAATTTACACAAATTTATGTTTGAGACAAACAAATACCTGAACTTTCGAGATATTTAGCTTTTGTACGCACGCGCACAATTATTA